TCTCTCTCTCTCTCTCTCTCTCTCTCTCTCTCGTACTGCTCTAGCTTCTATGGCGCCCAGCGCTGAAGACTACTGCTAACGCTACTAGCACCCAGCGCTGAAGACTACTGCTAGCGCTACAACTGCACCTGCAGCGCTCCTCCAGAGTGCTGCTGCCGAATCCTGAGACTACCTCCTGCCTCCTGAACTGCACATGAAGTGCCTGGGAAGTACCTAGGAACTACCTGCAGCCTGCAGGGCGGGCCAGTCTTATATAGTGCTGGCCCGTCCAGGAGGCTGCTCTTGCCAATGCCGAAACGTGCCAGACCCTGGGGTTGAAGCTCAAACAAAGGTTGTCTTGAAAATAGGCCCAAAATGGCCTGTGCTAAGACCCTGGTCTGGTGCCTAAGTTTCAGGGCAGGTCGATCTTATGAGGGCCTGAAAATGGCCCTCCGTTTCAGGCTGAAAAGACTTAGGGCCTGTAGGGCCCTTTTTTAGGCTGAAACGACACAGGGCCTGTAGGCCCTTATTTTCAGGTTTTCAGGCTGAAACGACACAGGGCCGGTAGGCCCTTGTTTTCAGGCTTTCAGGCTGAAACGACACAGGGCCTGAAAATGGCCCTCGTTGCAGGCGCAGCATGTAACAACTACTGAGCTTCTAAAAATGCCAACTTTTTGTCTTCTTCTGCTCGGCCTCCAGTTCCCGACACATCTACAGCTACTTGAGTGGTACCGGCCTACCTGCTACTCGAGTGTTTTTCTCCCGCTTCCTAAAGTGTCGCGGGCCTAATCCCCACTACTTGAGTGTTTTCCCCACTGCAATCCCTCAAAGTCACGGCATCAGGTAAGGCCCGACACATCTACCGCTACTTGAGTGGTACCGGCCTACCTGCTGCTCAAGTGTTTTTCTCCCGCTTCCCTACGTGTCGCGGCCGGCCTACCTGCTACTCGAGTGTTTTTCTCCCGCTTCCTTAAGTGTCGCGGGCCTAATCCCCGCTACTTGAGTGTTTTCCCCACTGCAATCCCTCAAAGTCACGGCATCAGTTAAGTACTGGCCTCGTGGGCCTCACGACACACAAGTGCCCCATCGGGCCACACACACACTCAGGCGGACGTGCACTCAGACAGCCGCACACACACACACACACACACACACACACACACACACACACACACACACACACACACACACACACAGACTCAGAAAACTCAGCACGGCACGGTAATCTCAGCACGACATTCATTCCAGCAGCAAATCCCAGAAATCAGCAGTGTTCTCAGTCTGTGTTTTGGTGGGTTAGTACACAATGCTTCTTTGTGTTTTGGTTCTGCATTGCTCCCGATAACGAGGATTTAACTGTCAGGTGTGCCTCAACTCCCTCTCAGAGTTGGAGCGACCCAGTGTATCTGTCTCCCCACTTGGGCAACGGGTTGGATCCTGGGCCCTCCCCGGCCCTCCCCGGCCCTCTCCTTGTGTACTCGCGTCTTGGTCATTTGCTGGTAGGCCTGAAGGTTGCATTTCTTTCCTCTTTTGTAAAAAAAAAAAAAAAAAACTCTTCCAGGTGACATGCGGCCGCTTCTGTGCTGCAGAACCTTTGTTGCCCGCTCCGCTTCCTTTTTCACAGGCAACTTGGAAAGCGATTGGCCAATGTGCATAATGCCCTATTTATATGCCGTTATGGTGTCCCCATTCAAATTACTCTGCCCACATAAGATGCTACCCGCTATTGTGAGGAAGGAGGGAGTTCTATTTGCGCCTTGGCTCTGGGAGCTATGGGCTGAGTGTGAAAAAAAAGGGACAACAACAAAAAAAGAAAGGAACCAGAATATTTATTAAAAAAAAAAAGAATACTTCGCTGCTTGATGGCAGATTTGAGGAGGCTGTCGGATGGTCACTGGCAAACGGAGACTTCTGACGTCTGCACGCTGGTGAGAAGTTCCGGCAGAGAGGATGGAGGGAGGGAGGTGGATCTCTCTCCCCTTGTCTGTCTGCGCCGATGCTTAACCTATCCTTGTTGACCAGCAATGGCCCGTGGCCGCTCTGAAAAGCTATTGGCTTGGCTTCAATGATCGGACTGCAATTGGATACAACATCCCGCTTCTACCCCCCCTCGGATTTCCCAGACCTATTTCCCCTCCCTATGAGTACTCTCATGAACCTAGCTTGGTTTGGTAGAGATCTGGATGCATCCCCCCAGCACGACCGGGGATAGCACTGGTGAACTGGGAACGAAGCTGAAGATCCAACCTCCGGTCGCCCCCTGGAGGCTGGTACCTGGCGGTACGTACCCTGTCGCTATGCTG